TGACATGAATGATAATGGGAAAAAAACTTTAAATGCAATTGTAACAAGCTTTGGGAAAACCGTTTTAACACTTTGTACTTTGTTAAAAAATATAACTATATACAAGAATATTTTCGTGACATGAATGATAATGGGAAAAAAACTTTAAATGCAATTGTAACAAGCTTTGGGAAAACCGTTTTAACACTTTGTATTTTTATATAAGTTACTCATGCAGCAGGAAAACAAGACTTACTACAAGAACAATGGTGGCATCAGCAACAAAATTACCAAGGTGGCACCAACGGGCAACTGAAAGGCATTGTGCCAGTAATAATAGTAACAGGAATCGTTTAAACCAATGTAAGAACATTAAGACGCAATTTAAAAAGTCGTGCTTCAAAAGTCACTTCGACAATACTTTATTATTGCTGTGTGGTACAACGCTATCGGACTTAAAATATATATAGCTGTATAGTCATACGATTCTCAACCAACCCCTTAAGCATAACCACCAAAATCATCACGTAATCGCCATTTAAAAATCTTAATGGAGTATATTACTACTGGCTTGTTCAAAAAAAAATTTTAGAGCCATGTCCCCAATAAAACAACTTTCCGACTTTTGCGTTATTGCAACAAAAAAAAAAAAAAAAAAAAGATATCGAATTATGTCTCGAATTAAGCTTAATGTGGATCATAACGCCCTGGGGCGTTATTTCGTGTTTATATGGCATCTCTTTCTTCCTTTTAAATGCTTAATAATTTTTTTTTTTTTTTTTTGTAATTGGTTTGATTACAATCCCAACTAGAATTGTGAAATTAAAATCTGGCATTTCTGTAATCCGAGCAATATTATAACCGACGGGTATTAGAACGGTATCAAAACAGAACCTTGTATAACTTTTGATCACTACCCACGCTGATTTCTACCCGAGTAAGTATATTATTATCGCTGTTTCGAAATGGTTGAAAATAGCAATATTTACAAAGAAATTTTTTTTGCGAATACTCAAATACTCGATTAGTTTAGATCACTATTATATAACTTAGATTGGAAATCGATCATCAATCAATGTTCCAAACTATTCGAGTATTCGCAAATAAATTTTTTTGTAAATATATATTACTATTCTCAACCCTTTCGAAAACAGCGATAAATAACTGGGTAATTTATTATAGCCATATAATTACATTTTCTACCGCTACCCGGACCTTTAACTCCGGACAAAAAAATTTTCGCTGAAAGTTTTTACCAAATGATCGCCCATACTTGCACAATCAAAATTTTCGAGATAGTACAAGATTTAATTTAATAAAAAAAAAAATAGCCAAAATCATATGAAAGTGATGTATGAATATATTTTATATTTCTTTTTTTTTTTTTTAATTTTTTTAGATTTAAATTAAATTTTATTTTGTTAAATTTTGTATACTATATATATAATTATATAGCAATATAGTTTCTAAATTATCAATTATACCGTATTTCACGGACCAAACCCACTCCCTGTTGTAAATACTCATAAGCTTTTCTAGATATATATACAGTATATTTTTAAAATTGGTAATCATTTAGCATAAATAGTATATACAGGAATATAAGTTAAAATGCACCAATGTAACGATAATATTAAACGCCAAGTACAATATAATTCTACGAGGGGTGTTTTAGCCCGCGAAAAATGCGATACGTACTGTATTTTAAATACTGTATCCAAAAATGTTATACGTATTGTACTGTAAAATTACTTTAAACGGTAACAAAAAAATAGCTAGTTAAAGAATTATTTTTTAAAATAAATCAATAAAAAAATATATAGTATTAATACATTTTAAAAATTTTTTAATTATATAGTAAGAGTCTGGCAACTTAGCCACTACATTACTTTGCTACACCTCCTGAAATCAAAAAAATTATAGTAAAATTATCAAAATTACTACAATATAATAGATTAAGAGATATTGTTATTTTTATTTATGTAATTATATAATTTCTTTACAGATTTGCAAAAAAAATTCTATATAATTATAATTATAAAGACAAAAATAATAATATCTTGTAGTTAATTAGATTAATTTTATAAATAACATTGTTAAATTATACTATTACAGTAGTATTTAATATAACAATAATTTTTATAAGCTATAGTATAATATAAAGATTAGGTATAATATAAGTTTTTTTGTTGTTTTAAAAAAAAAAATTATAGTATAAAATTTTATATATTTATAAGAGCGTTAGTTTATAGTGATGGGTCGCCATGGCGACCCTATATGAATAGCCAATCAAAATTGAGTATGTGGATATATAATAAGTTGCTTACTATTGGCCAATTAAAATTATTAAAAATTTTAAAAATTTTATAATAAAAAATAAAAAAATATAAAAAAAAATTGTAATAATTCTAAAATATGATTGGCTGCTATATATAGGATCGCCATGGAGACAGGTCTCCATAAAAAATTTAACTACTTATAAACTTACTTTTTATTTAATAAAAAAATTTTTTTGCAAAATTTTAATATAAATTAAATATTTGCTATATACTCTAATTAAATTTTAATTTTTGTTTTAATAAAAATTATTTTGATTTATATATAAGGGAAAATCTAGAAAGTGCCTTTATGCACTTTGTGCCCCCTAGCAAAAATTTAGCCTATAATAAAAATTAAATTAGATTAAAATTAGCAAAAATGTATAAAATTATGAGAGAAACATTTTTGCTTAATTACACAACAGGGGATTACCTTAGTTATTTTATGATTTTAGATTAGAGTTAGATTAGGGTTAAATTAGAATTAGGTTAAAGTTAGGTTAGGGTTAGATAAAGTTAGGTTAAAGTTAAAATTTAGACTTAGAGTAGTGTAAAATTGTAAGAAAAACATTTTTATTTAGTTGCAAAACAGGAGTTACTCTAGTAAAATTTTGAGATATTTGCAATTTTATAATAGAAGAGTACAAAATATATGAGGCACTGACTAGTCCAGTCTTATATAGAAGAGATGTAGTAATTTAGTATAGTAGTCTAGTTGTCACTCTCTCCAAGTGGTAGGTCTAGAGTTTGAATCTTATAGATGATGATTTTAAAAAATAGGCCTGTGTATGGATTACAGTTATCAATTATTAGTTGGATCTAAAACTAAATTTACAATCTTAGTCATACTATCTAGTAATAAAAGCTTTGGCACAATAAATCTAAAGAACCAAAATAACTGAAAACCTATTTGGGAAGTTCTAAGTTGGGAGTAGTAGCAATCTTTGATAGTACCACAGGAAGGCTAAATTCAAACTGGGGCCTGAGATCGAAGAATTGAGGAATCGACCAGGGCGGCCCCCCAAAGTGCGGATCGATGGCGCAGCCACAGCCGCAGCTCATGATCTACCAATCATATCGTACCGTATAATGAT